CTCTGGCTATATATTGTTATTGCTTTCTATAGTAATTAGTAATCCTGAAAGAGTATTTTCAAGTATGCATGCTATATTGTGTGGGAAGAAACTATTTAGTAGTGAATAATGCAACTTGGCATAATATAGCGTGCTGAGACGGGTCTGTGAAGCAGGATTTGAGGCTTTTTTCCTACCTGTTTCTGTTCTGTTCTTTTATTTTCTTTTGAAAATTTACTGGACAAAATATTGTTTAGTAGTAAATGGGATTGAAATAGTAGAAATCAAGAAATAGCATGTTATTTCATGTAGATGGGTAGCAGACAGTTCCTGGCTTATTTTTTCTAATCTTTTATCAATTTATGTATTTTTTAAAAATCAAATGACTAAACAGGGCATAATTTCAATTATAATTAATAATTATAATAATTATAAACACACAATAACTATATAATAGTAATAATATTTAGTTGCTTTTATATTTCGAACATCTCTTGTCTGGGAGACTGTAACAAAAATCTGGTGGTAATTGGTGGACTGCTGTGAAATGATCCATTTAATTGTCCTTTCCCCTGGGCTTGCTAGCGGACACAGCATAGAGAATGCCCTAATTCAGATCAGTTTAAGGGCTTGACTTTTTGGGGAGCTGCTAATTTATTCCCTGATCCTGCAGGGTGGTAGCATGGTTCTAGGAACTTGTACGACACAATATATGGTTTAAAAGAGATGCAGCTCCCACGCTTGCAAAAATATGGATTCAATTAAATGTTTAATGAGGTCGGAATAAGGTTCAAAACTGTAGATAATGGTAATAGTTGACTTCCTCAGTCCCAGGAGTGAGACAGAAAAAAGCTTTCTTTTACGTTCAAAGATTTATATCCCTTCATAATGCTGTGTGCATTTAATTAGAAATTATTCAGTTGTGCACAGAAACCAATGCTGGACAACATTTTTAAATGTGTGAGAAGTTATGGAGAAAAGATTCAGGAGATAAAACAGAAATTAAGAGGAAAAACTGGTAAGAGATGAGAACCGTAAAGCTGATCAGCAGCCTTTCCAATTTTGTAAGACATTGTGTACTTACTGCCATGGTGATGAACAGGCATGGATGATACATGTTTTGAGGGTTTTAATTAAAAAAAAGAAGAAGGCAGTGAGCAATATTGTTTTTATTCTATTTTAAGCTAGTAATGGTGCCTTATCACAGGTCTGCCTTTAATGTCAGGAAAAGAATCCTTTGAAAAAGGCTGTCAAAAAACTCCCAAGTTCCCAGGGGAAGGAAGGGCTGTGTGTCACATCCAAACATTTTATTTGGCTGTCACAAGAAGGGCACTGACTGACGCCAGAGGGAGCTGCCTTCCTGTATCCCTTCCTTATTGATGGGTTAGCATGAAAACAGCCTTGTGGAGAAGGGCCATAATGTGAATAATATATTCCTTAATTAAATGTAAATAATAACGTAGTCTCGCGTGTAAGTGAGAAACACAATATTCTAATAATAAAAATAAATGCCAGCTTGATGGTTGGAGAAGTAGAGCTAGTAATACTGGAGAGTATTCAGATTTTTTTTTGTTACAAAAATGGCAAATTCAATGTGTAGTTCCGGTCAATTAAGCATGTTTTGCAAATACACTAAAATAGACTCATCACAGATGTTGAAATTATGCATTTGCAGAAGTCTATATTGTCGTTTAATTGAATAGGCAAATAAGATCACTGATCTTTCTAATCAGATATTAAGTATCCAGCTGTGACCGAGCTCCTGCGGCGTTACTTTAATTGTCACAGTCGTCTGTCATTCTCTGCATAGTCCTGCATGAAATGCCAGTGCCGGCTTTGAAGAAACAAACAGGATACACGTGTCCTCAGTACTAATAACAGACTGGCAATATTCTGCCTATATGATAGAATTAATTTTGGTCCTTTACCATTCTAACGTATTGCTTACACATTAACTGCAATGAGATCAGCTTTATTTTCTGAGACCCAGCACTGAGCTCAATTTAGGATGTCATGTTTTTATTGTCAGATTTTTCTTCAGACGAGATTTTGTACTGCTGTGTGGTGTTCAGCGTTGTCCTATCTTTTGTGCACTGTTCGAAACTGAAGTTATTTATCTAGATTATGCGCATTTAATCACATCACAAATCCTGGATTATAAATGTTATGTACATACGAATATGCACACACAGTATGTTTTGAGCAAAAGTTGTCCATTTCACTAAAAGCAAACATTTGCTTGGAAAAAAAAACAGCATTTAGTTAAATAAACTTCAAGTTGAAAATGAGGCTGCCAGCAGGCACGTAGGTACAGGCATTATGGCTGGCATACCACTTCAAACACACAGATTGTTTTAAATGTATGTCTCATTTGAGGGATTAGTGTTTATAAGCCTGGGCAAATTATTCTGCACAATGTTTGTGGCTGCATGCAGCATAATAAAAAGATTGTGAGGCTGATTATTTGCAGTCGGGGCTCATTAGTGAGGCAGGTGAATTGTAAGCTTGATGAAATGATGAAGATAAAACAAACTGTAGCCTTAAAGTATGTCTTTGTAGAGGAAGTTGGTGGGTTTTAGAGCCTTCTAATTTTACTTTTTATTCCATAGATGAAATTTTACACTTGATCTTAATTTTAATTTGTATGCCTGTGAATACTCTGAGTCATCTAATTTATTTGAATAATTAGAATATATTGAAATATGTTATCTGCAAAGTTAAATGTATATGTACTAAATGTAAATTTAAATGTAGTTGAAAGAGATTCTGCTCTTGCTCTTGTGGATTGCAGGAAGCACTAGAGCTGGGCGAGCAAGCACGATGCTCCCCTCGTAATGCCCCAGTCTGCACCTCCAGCTTGGGAACCTCTTCAGCCAGCTGCAGCTTTTACTAATGCTCAGTGTGGTACCTCTCCGTGATTTTGTGCTAACAGGGAAACTTTAATTTCAGTGTTTTCAGGTCATTTGTGAATATCTGGGATAGCATAGGCCCCAGCACAGAGACTTGCCAAACCTCACCTTTCTCTACGGTGAAGACCGCTTGTTTCCTCCTATCCTCCATTTCCTATCTTTTGATAAATATTTATCCATACTATGCTTTTCCCTTTTCCATGTTAGGGACTTTAAAATCTCTCTTGGAAATGTCACTAAATCATAGTACTCCATCCATGTGTTTATAAATCCTTCAAGGAATGCTTTTAACAAGAGCTGTGTTGACTGTTCTCAAGTAGGTCATCCAGGCATCCATTAATTCAGCTCTTTATAATGAGAAATGTGTTAATAATGATGCTTGTACTAATTTGTTTGGTATAGGTGGCAGGCGTGGTGGCCGGTAGCTCTCCAGATGCTCCACAAAAATGTTTTAGAACTACTGTTTTTTTGCTTCCCACTTTCCAGGCTGCAGATATTAAGCAGGTTTACAGATTGCTGCTTATATTTTATTGTTCATTTTGTCCATTTATTTCCCTAAGCTTTTCTGTAGTCATTTCAGTTTTTGTGCCGAGTATCTCACGAGGAAGAGTTCTGGCCTGAGACTCTCTGCACCTCCTTCCCCTGTGAGCACCGGTGGAAAGGGTCAGTTTAGCTCGTGTGCCATGACCTTGTCTTTACTGAGTGCTCCTTTACCCCTTCCTTATCAGCTGCCTCCATAGACTCCCTGGCAGGTTTCTTGCCACTCATGGGTTTGGAGCAATATTTAGGAGTTCTGACTCTATGACTGTTTTTTCCTCATTCTAATTTTTGACCTATCTTTATTTTGCTTTTTACCTTTAATATGCCAGAATTTCAGATCCTTTCCATTTTCTTCATTTTTACAGGGCCTCAGCTTTTGATGGCTACCTTTTTTCTTCTACTACCCTTTTTTGTGTTCTGTTGTTCGTAGTTGTGCTGGTTTCCTATTGCCCTTCCTTAAGGTCTTTATAAATTGTATGCATTAGCCCTGGGTTTGCTTCATGGTATGTAGTTTTCACACTACCGGTAGGATTTAATTCTGGTATGGGTCACTTTAGTATCTTTTTTTAAAAGCATCTCCATTTTTATGGGTCACTCTAGATCTATCATCTAAAAAAGGCAAAATTTTCTGTTCTTTTTTCTTTTCTGTTTTACTTTCCAAAACTTGCATGCAGACCAAGTAGTTTGTGTGATTATCCTTCCAAAAACATTGCAAGTGCACAAATGACACACAAATTGCACACATACACACACAGTATGATAGATCATTTAAAAACCTATCTTGTGATCTTTTAGAAATATGGGTCCCAACTTTGCTAAAGTCTGGTGCCTTTTTCAGTGACGCTGCCAGGCTATCCAGACTAATCCCAAGCGTCAGTAGCACAGCTGCTGCTATAAAGGAGTGCTGCTCCTGTAAGGCAGAAATGCAGTACTTTTCCTTTTTTCATGATATCTGAATTTCCTTTTCTGTTGGGTTAAATGTGGGATGCCCATTGGAGTGAATAAAGAAGATTGTTATTCTTTACTTCTGTAGAAATTGGCCAATTACTAGGATTTTGATCCTTCAAAGAAAGATGTATTATTTTAGTGTATGAATAGGCTGGCTCAAATTACACTAGATGTAAATATCTAATCCTCCTTTTTGAAAGATCTTCTGAACAGTAGTAATAGAAGAAGTACTTCTTTCTGAGAAATGCTGAGTTAAATTTCACTTGGAAAGATTAGTTAATCCTCTTATGGGAGCAGCTTCAGATGCTGTGAATCATCCTTTTATACCAAAGGAACTAAATCGGTTCCTTGGATGTCACCAAAGTCAGTCTGCTTATGGCAGCTGAAGATCTGTCCTGTAGTGTATTAAACAATTTAATTTATGATAAATTGCAAATTAAACATTTCCTTTTTTATTATTTTTCTTAAGCATTCTTAGTAAGCTAATTAAGTACAGTTTGTTACTGGTAATACTCATACATCTTAGATTTAAACACATTAGTCATCAGAAATATTTTTATAGACATACTCACTTGGGCTGTCTTGTGGCACAATTTATTTTTTTTGTTTTCCCTCCTATTTCAGGTAAATATGCAGAAGACATATTTGGAGAACTTTTCAATGAAGCACACAGCTTCTCATTCAGAGTCAACTCCTTACAGGAACGTGTAGATCGCTTGTCTGTCAGTGTTACGCAGCTTGATCCGAAAGAGGAAGAACGTAAGTCAACTCCTGCACAGAAGAGTTATCTGTCATCTGTCATCCAAATACCATTGATACCATTGATAAGTGAAACAGAAATAGTGGTAGTTTAAATTGTAAATATAGAATGAATGCAGACTACAAATCATGAGAAGGATACTGATTTTGATTTCTCCTACAGGTTCATTTTATAACCTTGAGAAACTTTGAGCTCAAAATTTTTGTGGTTACTGAACAGTATTACTGTTAAAAATGAGTTTTCATTAGAACAGCGACAGGAGAGTATGTCACCACAGATCACTTAATGCACAAATATAATGAAATATATTCTTCCAGGACACATTTGTTACAAGTGAAACTCTTAAAGAGCCTGTAACCCTAAGCAGTGTTAGAGTGTTCTAGATTGTGTCGCTGAGACTCATAAAGTAGAGCAGCACCCAATTTTGAATAATAACTTTATTCAAGTTAAGCAACTTTAAGGTTGCTTTTGGGATCCCATTCTGAAACATGAAGAGCTGTTTCAATTATGAATATCTAGGTAAAATAGTGGTGAGGAGAATGAAGTGTGAAACCAGGAGGAGGATGATCTGAGGTTGTCTTTTATTGCCTATTCCACTCTGATTCCACTATTTATGAAATTAGGCTAAGGAAATTTTGATTCTGTACTCTTGTGGCATTTATTTTCGAACAGGTTTTGAAAGACAGCTGCTCACAGCTAGTAGCAGAATTTCAACAATATCATGTCTTGCCTAAAGGAATTCTTACATTAATGGGATTTTCCAAGTTTCTTGACAACTGAGCATAAATCAGGAACACACACCTCTTTTCCAGTAAAATATCATGTTTACCATGATTGGATAATGCCCCAAATCCTTTCTGTATACAGTACCAAATCTTCAGCAATTGTAATCTTCTAACAGGTGTAATACTCCAGAGTGTTAATGCCATTTCTGTGTTTGCCTTTGACAACCTATTTATTGGTTTAAATCGGGGGCGGTTTATGTTGATACAGCATGTCTGATATGGCAACCATTCACATTTCAGAAAAATGGACAGACCATTTCAAGGGATAGACTTAAATCCACTAAGGGTAGTGAAATGGAAATTTGTAGTTCCCCATGTAAATGGCCTTTGACAAGTTTGGTTGTAGGTTTCAGTACTAAATATTAACAGCTATCCGAGAGTTTCCAGAAAGATTTTTAAATGATGTGTAGTCTCAAGTGCACCAGATCAGCAGCTTCTCACAGCATTGCGTGTATTTCCTAATTATTTAGCTAGGGAAGGGACAGACACTGGAATTAAACAAAACAGGAGTGAAAAAAGGAATCTTGATCAAGCCCAGAACAGCTCAGTGTGGCTCAAATCTAGTACACTGGATTTGTCTCATGCCATAGGCTAGTAGTGACTGCGAGTTCTTTAGAGGAACACGTGCAGTGCTTGGTGTCAGGAACTATTACATGATTATTTTTATTAACCTAAGAACATCCAGTTCTTGAGCCTTACTCATAAATGTCTGCTCAGAATGAGTCACCAGGTGAGGAGATCCAATAATGCGTTTTCTCAAAAATCCAGTAATATATTTCCCCAAAACCCAGGGATCAGAAAACCTTTTCTCCTTCAGTATCTTCTGTTGGGTTTGAATTTTAGAAAGTGATGACAAATAGCCCTGTTTTAGTGCTGTTCTGGGCTGCAATAGCTAGAGGACATTCATGTCTCCAGAAGAGTAGTTCAGAGCAGAGCGTATGTGACAACTGGGTCGTGGCATCCACGTGTAGTATGTTAACACTGTGGTCAACTAATTCATAAGAGTTTTCACCACCAAAGTCAAACAAAGACTGAGTTAAATTGCATAATAGCATCAATCGCAAGCCATTTTCCTGGCGCTTCTCCACTTGCCTGGATGTTGCATTTGAGCACATGTGCTTCTCAAAGGTTATGCATGTGGGTTGAATTTCGAATGCTCTCTGTGATTTTTCTTCCAGTTTTCCTGGCTGTTGATTCACTTTATGGGGTTCTTAGTAAGTAGATTCAATTAGCATGCCTGTGGCTCAACACTTCAGTGCCTAAGCCATGCTACTGCCCAATTCATGTTCCAGGTATGAAAACTGGGATCTGGACTAAAGACTGGTTGTCCCTCTCCCACACCTCCTGAATTCGTACATCCAGTTTGTTCGAGGAATGTAAAAGCAGGAAGAGCAGGCAGTATTTGGAAATTCTCCAGTGCGGGTTTTCTCTGGAGGCCTTTGCTATGTAGAGTAGTTTTAGAGAGAAAATAAGCTTTGCTTATTATTAGGCATTGAGGGGTAATCCTCAGCTGTGATCTTCACCCTGTATATATTTACTAGCACTGAAGATTAAATCTAGAAATAGGAGACTGTGGATCAGACTTGCTGTAATTGATCACTCAACAAATTATGTGCAGTGAGCATCAAACATGAACATTTTATTATTTAAGGAAGGAACTGTCTTTACTGGAGAAAATACTTTGTTTGTTTCATTACTATCAGAATGAATATCAGGCTCCAAGAAAAATACCCTAATTTATATTTTTATTGGCCTAGTCACCAATAAATGATAGGTAGTTTAAAGACTTAGAGCCGTTCAAAGCAATCCTGAACAAGTACATTTGCAATAAATGATAGGTAGTTTAAAGACTTTAAAGAGCCGTACAAAGCGATTCTGAACAAGTACATTTAGTGAGATTTGCAAAATCAACAACCAAAGGAAAACAACTGAGGTACAAGAGAATCTAAGACGGGATTTTTAAATGGAATAAACCCTGATTCTTTATTTTAATTGTGAACATTGGATAGCAAATAACAGCCTGTACTCCATGACAGGCACAAAATATATGTGGTTATTTAGGAGTGCAAAAATAAATGCAGAAATTGAGATTCGTAGCTGGCATTTGTACATTAGTAGTACCACTTTCACTACTTAAAAGGCTTCTGAGCAGCTAATTAAGGTATTAAAAAGGATAAAAGACACTGTAATGAAATAGAACCTAAGGGTAAAGAGGAGAAGGCTTCTCTGGTAACACGCAACCTTGCCAACTGTAATAAACCTCAAAAGCCAAACTGAAAATCAAATAAATCCCTTTTTTTAGCCTCACAGAGGCTTCTGCTGATGCACTTAGGTAAGAAGAGAGAATATTCCAGGAACTGCAAGACATATGGGGGGAAAAGAAGACCTGCCTTCTGCCCCTTTGGGATTATACAATAGAAATCCAGCTGTTTTGTATCTTGGCTTGCAACAGCGGGATTGGAAATAGGGCAGCAGACATGGCCTGAAATATGTGTGTGTTTGTGTGTACATCTGTAGGTACCACAGAAAGGAGAATGCATCTCGCTTACATCTGAAATGGAGGCACTTTTAAAAAAATGTTGCCAAAGGCCCGATGATTTTCTCAAAAGCAGGGAGAGGGGAGAAGCGTTCTCTCATCTAGAGTAGAGGGGGGCACTAACTTCAGCCTGTTTGTTTATCAAAGGACTGCTGCTGCTTTGTTTTCTGAAAGTCTTAACCCAGCTCCAAGGCTAGGCTAGACACAAGTGGACCTCACTGAAGAAGTGATGAAACATCAGGGAGGGAGAAAAATATGAGTCTGATGGGTACACCGTTGCACGAATCCAAAGGGCAGGCTTCATCTTTTGCAGTCACTTTTCCATTAGTCTTCTAAAAATCATAGCAAGATTGTTTCTGCTGAAACTGCCAAGTGTTTTTTAAATTTTAATGATTGTGGGGAAACAAAAAAAAAGAGGATATGTAAGATTTAATAGCAGTAAGGATTTTCATTTTGATTAAACAAGGGAGTGCCATCTAGTTTAAACAAGCTGATTAAAGAAACACATTTGTCCTGTATTGGAACACTGTGTTCCCCATGAAATCTTGTTGACTTCAGCAAAATCAGCTTAAGTGATTTGCTGATTTGGCAGAGGGTTTTCAGTGGAACTGCTAAGTGTGTCCAAGGAATGCAAAACTGAGATGCTGTGACAGTTAAACACAAAATCTTCACCTCAAGATAAGGAGTCAGTGTTTAGTACCAAGAGGTAAAACAGAGTTGGTAGATTTTATTAGATCCCTCTGAACTACAGACTTACATTCTGGAGCTGTAGTAAGGGATTCGTGGAGCTACTTTGTAGAGACAGAGTTCTGGTTTCAGTCCAGGTGAGAAAAAAGTTTCTCTGAAATAAATAAGGATAATGTGCTTGAATAAAGGATAATGTGCTTGAACATTACAGGCGTGTTTTTCACATAATCTGACAATATCTTGCCATGGCAGTAACATTACAGAAATATATGTGCAGCGTAAAATGTGCTTGTGTTTAACATACGGTTTTAGCAATAATGCTTAATACTTATATTCCAGCTAGCATTAAACAACTGCAGATTAAACGAAGTAATAAACTATCTTTGATCACATTTTTTAATGGTGGTATCTCCTTTCAGTGTCACTGCAGGACATTACAATGAGGAAAGCTTTCCGGAGCTCCACAATTCAAGATCAGCAGCTGTTTGACCGCAAAACTCTGCCTATTCCTTTGCAAGAAACCTACGACATTTGTGAACAACCTCCTCCTCTTAACATTCTCACCCCTTACAGGTTAGTATAAGATTATCAAAAGCAATGTCTAGTGTATTTAGTAAAGTGTTTGTTATTACAGTTATACATGCTGTATTTTGTAATACAGTGCTGTATTTGGGTACCTTACCTGTGTTGAATAGTGCTTGAAAATTTCGGGGGTTGCACTTGAGACTATGAAGCTACTTGAGGAATACAGGTAGCAGAAGACATTACAAGCCATTGTAAGACAGTATAAGTATTAAAAGTTTATTTCTTTTGGAAAAAAAAATGCTACAGTGTAACAGTTGCAAGAATAAGCCATCCTCAACATCTGCATATGTTGGACTGTGTCATGCTGTTGGATGACAAGTGAAGAAAATGGGTGATTAGGTCTGTAGAAAGAAAGTCTTTATTGAAAATGGATGTTGTTGGCTTTCCCAAAGCTAGTTTGAATCAGTAGTTTCAACCCTAACCACACAGATACACTTACTATTTTACGAGCAAGATTTGAGTCGTTGGAATGAAAGAAGTTCTTTATTTATGGTACTGCTTTTGACTACAACTTACATTAAAACTGCTTCTCTGAAATAAAGACCTTGAATACAAGGAAAGGCACAGAAGAATCATGGCATTAGGAGGTCAGTGTTCATCTTTTTAATGTTCATGATCAGCAAAATACTTAGGGCCTCAGGTGCAAGGTGGATTTTAATATGCCATTATTTTTCCTTCGTGTTTAGAGACATGTATTGTCAAATGAACAGCATCGCTTATATCGTTGTATTTCAGGGATGATGGAAAAGAAGGTCTGAAGTTTTATACCAATCCTTCCTACTTCTTTGATCTATGGAAGGAAAAGATGTTGCAAGACACTGAGGATAAAAGAAAAGAGAAGAGGAAACAGAAGGTATATATGTTAACTTTAAATAGCTACTGGTTGCATTTCTGTTGTTGTTTTGCTGTTTTTTTGGCCCTTTTTTTGAATGGGGGAGAATTCTTTTTTTTTTCTGGGAAGGTTTGCTTGCACATGTGTTACTTCTTGGGTTATGCAATAAAAGCAGTCTGGATTTTATATAGATAATTATGATATTCTCTAACTAAAACTACTTGAATTCATTCAATGCCATCAAATAAGCTACTATTAACAGGTCTTAGAGCTTTCGTGTTGTCTTACTGTAACTAACAGCAGATTTGCCCAAACTTATTAAGCCTTCTAACAATTACTCAAAGAAGTGCAGAATTACACAGGAATACAGTAAGAGTTCAGGATTTCACTGGAACATTTTTACAGTATAAAATACTGACAAATTTACAGAAGAAAAAGCCACTTTTAGATAGGCTCTCTGAAAATTAGGAATAAATGGTAGACACAGAGCCTTGTATTTACATTTTCTTAAATAAGCAATTCTGTAAAGGCAAAAGTCTTTTTTCTTTTTTTTTGGTTTCACAGTTATTCTCTACATTTCCTACATAGAAACAGTAAATATAAGCGTCAGAAGGAGATTCAGAATTTCATTTCACCTTTAAAATAAAGAGGCTAATTATACAGTTATTGTTCACTGTATTCTTAAGCTAATTATCCACTAAAGTAAAGCTTCTACCATCACAAAGTTTTTTGGCTTACACATTACATTTAGACTGAAAATCAGATGTTTCTTGCACTTTAATTGGGATTATTTTCATTGTTTGTTGCTGATGTTTTTATGCAGCTAATTTAAAAGCACTGTCTCAGTTGTCAGTTTTGTTTGCACAACTCTCCTGCAGCAGAAAAATCTGGATCGCCCTCATGAACCGGAAAAAGTGCCAAGGGCACCTCATGACAGACGGAGAGAGTGGCAGAAGTTAGCCCAAGGTCCGGAGCTCGCGGAGGATGATGCTAACCTCTTACATAAGCACATTGAAGTGGCTAATGGCCCGGCTTCACATTTTGAATCAAGGTTTCTTTTTATTTTTTCTATTCTTCATTAAATGTAGCTGTTTATTCTACACAGTAAATATGTTTGAGAAGGGATAAATGACAAAGTGGTACTGCCATGCTTGAAATGCACTGGAATCATTGATTTAGCTCAATCAAAAATCAGTTTTAAAATTCATAGCCAATCTGTCTTAAAGGAGTTACTGTTCTCTTCTTATTTTGGAGAGTAGTGTACCTGTCTGGAATTACTATATCTTTGAGGCTCTGAAGGTACCTGCCTCTGACTTGAAGGAAGTCTAAATGTCACTGCTGCGGGCACGCACCCAGGTGCATTACTACATTCTAGCCTTGACCTACAAAACCCCTGTTATTCCAGTCTCTTTATTTTTCTGGAGCAGAAACTGCCAAGACTATATGGTGGGTGTGATGTGAACAAACGTCCAGTTGGGCCTCGGATGAGATCACTGAGCTTTTCTTCACTCATGAGCAAATCCCAGATTTGATTGACATTTCTGGTTATAGCCTATTACAAACTCCAACTTGCTGGCTTCTCATTTCACAGCGGGCATTTGCAGGTGGCTAAAAGCAACATTTTCAGTGAGGTGCATCATGAGGGGTATCATGCAGGCTTCCCTCTTGTGATGTTTGTGCAAAACAGGGTCCGTTTTACCAGCTGAGAAACTTATAATAGACATTCAAGTAATGTTAGGGGTTTTGAGGAGGTATGATTTTCCTTGGGGTTTTGTTTTTGTAATATACATTTGTTGTCCTCTAAAGAACAGTTAGGGTTTTGGGTTGTTTTGTTTTCCCCCTTTCCTTTATTGGCCAAAAGAGGGTTCATTTTAGATCTGCCAGGTTTTTGGATAAACTTAATAGTAAGAGTGGATAATTGTCATAGCTCTCAAAAGTAGTGTTTTGTGTCTGAAAAAGGGAAAAGCCTGGCTGCAGGAAGCCTAGCTCTCGATTCAGGAAGTGAAAATGGTCTTGGCATTTTTCACTCAGTAAGGTACAACTGAAATTATGGGTGATACTCGTTTTGCTTTGGGAACACAACCAGCTTTGTAGTATAAACGGATGCATCAAGTAGTCGGCAGAGACATCTCCTTTCCTGATGTCTTTCTGCTGTGTTGAACAGCAGTTTTCACATGAGAGGTGCTCTGTACAGGACTCCAGCACCCTGGCCTGAGCCATAATTATTTCAGTAACGGCACTGAAAT